CTCCAAAATCAGGAACAGGGCAAGGATGTTCACTTTCACCACTTCTATTCAATGTAGCACTGGAAGTTCTATCCAGAGCAATTAGGCAAGAAAAAAAAAACTAAAAGTATCCAAATTAGAAAGGAAGAAGTAAAATTATCTCGATTTACACAAATGATATGCTCTTACATATAGATAACCCTAAAGAGTCCACCAAAAAATAAAACTATTAGGACTAATAAATGAATTCAGCAAAGTAGCACAATACAGAATCCCATAAAAATTAGTTGCATTTTTATATACTAACAGTGAATAATCCAAAAAGGAAATTAACCAAACAATTCCATCTACAATAGCATCAAAAATAATGAAATATTTAGGAATTAACTTAACCAAGAAGGTGAAAGACCTGAATGATAAAAACTACAAAACACTAAAGAAATTTAAAAACACATAAATAAATGAAAAGATATTCCATGTTCATGGATTAGAAGACTTAATATTGTTAAAATGTTAATACTATACAAATCAACCTACAGAATCAATGGATCGTTGTCCAAATCCCAATGTTTCTGTAGAAATAGAAAAATCTATCCTAAAATTCATATAGAATTTCAAGGGACCCCAAATAGGCAAAATAATCTTGAAAACAAATGAAGTTGAAGGACTCACACTTCCTGATTTCAAAACTTACTACAAAGCTATGGTAATCAAAATAGTGTAGTATTGCCATAAAGACAGTCTTTTTAACAAATGTTGCTGGGAAAACTGGATATCCACTTGCAAAAGAATAAAGTTGGATTCTTATACCATATACAAAAATTAACTCAAAATAAACCAATGACCTAAATTTAAGACCTAAAATTACAAATTCTTAGAAGAAAATGTAGTGCAAAAGACTCATAACATTGAATTTGGCAATAATTTCTTGGATATGACACCAATGGCATAGGCAACAACAACAAAAATAAACTGGACTTCAAAAGAATTTAAAACTTTTGTGCATCAAAAGATATATCAGAGTAAATAGGCAACCCATAGAAGAGGAGAAAATATTTTCAAATCATATATCTGATAAGGGTCTAACGTCCGAATATATAGAGAATTTCTAAAGCTCAAGAATAACAACAAAAACAACCCAATGTAGAAACGGGCAAAGGACTTGAATAGACTTCTCCAAAGAAAATACTCAAATGGCCAATAAGCACATGAAAAATGCTCAACATCACTAATCATTAGGGAAATGCAAATCAAGAAATTGGAACACTTACGCATTGTTGATGGGAATGTAAAATGGTGCAGCCACACTATGACAGTTCCTCAAAATATTAAAAATAAAATTACTGTATGATTCAGCAATTCCACATCCAGGCATATACCCCAAAAAAGTTGAAAGCATGGTCTTAAAGAGCTATTTGCATACCCATGTTCATAGCAGCATCATTCACAATAGCTTAAAGGTAGAAGCAACCCAAGTGTCCATAAACAGATGAATGGATAAGCAAAATGCAATGTATACATTCAATGGAACATTATCCAGCCTTGAAAGGACAGAAACTATGACACATACTACAATATGGATGAACCTTGAGGACATTATACTAAGTGAACTAAGCCAGTCACTAAAAGACTGCATGATTCTATTTATATGAGGTACCTAGAGTAGTCATATTCACAGAGACAGAAGTAGAATGGTGGTTGCCAGGGGCTGGGGTTAGGGAACTGATGAGTTTACAGTTTCAGTTTTGCAAGATAAGGAGTTCTAGAGATGGATGGTGGTGATGGTGGAATGTGTATAATATGAATTAATAAATGTATTTAATACCACTTTAACTGTACATTTAAATATGTTAAGATAGTACATTTTGTTATGTGTATTTTATCACAATAAAAAAATCAGAAAAAATTAAGTAGTGTGACTGCTGTAATTTTGAGATCTTTGCAACA